TTTTTTTTTTTCTCTCCTAATGTTTACATTTGATCACTGCTGCACTTTAAGAAATGGAAATGTCACGAGAGCTTTACAAAATGAAATTTCATTAACGCAATAAAGTTCTTCTAAATCTAAGTTTATGTTCATGAGATATCTGGCATATGACTCAACATAATAATTTAGACTATATTTAGCTCATGTTTTAACACAGCTTAAGGATGGATTCAACGCCCTTCTCACTTTGAGCAAAGGGGATGCATTATTTGGCATAACATTGACCAGTGCATCATACTATTGGTTGATCACAGACTATTTGCTTCTTTTATACGACACTCTCACGCAAGGTTGGGGGAAAGTTTGAGGTGGGGAGTGACACGGGCAGCCTAGGCGGAGCTGCCATTCATTCATCAAGACAGAAAACATTGATTAAAGAGGAAAAAAACGAGGTATAGGTAAGTATAATTTGTAAGTCAGTTTGAAAGTGTAATGAATAAATATTAAATCAAATAATTTCCTGTAAAATTATCTAATATATATTTTTTTATATCAGGGTTAAAAAAAACAGAGGAAGAGAGTCAGTGTTAAATGGCCTCAGAGGTAATACAGTATAAAAAAAAGCTAGTCTGAATTAGAAAATCGTGTTCTGACAAATGTTTATTTCATACTCTACTGTATATATTTTTTTTTTACCCTGCTTTAGGAGAGACAGATTGAGACATCTTTCTTAGTGATAGCGGAGGGAGGTTCACAGATGATATATGAATTTACAGTTAAGGATTGAAGCACTGGGCTGTGAGGGAGAGTGGTACATCTGCAGGTGATGTAATACCTTTAAAATACCTTTACCTGTAGAAATAAATGTTTTTATAGGATGTGTGTGAGGATGTGGCCAGGTGCAGCAATGAAGATGCAACACTCAGATGTGTAGAGAGAGGACAAGAAAAAGGCAGATAAACAGTAGTTGAGTTGTAGGGAATGGTGGATTTTATTTAAATTTTTGGAAGCATACATAGCCTGATTAATATAGTCTATTAACCTAAAGCAATATGCATGATATGGTTGTTACATTTCAGGTTTGCCGGTCATTTACATTGACCAAAGCACCTTACAGTAGAACTGCAGTCAGTCCCTGGACTGGCGTGGCTATCATTGCCTCTACATAGTTGAGGACTAAGGCAAAGGACAAACTTCCTACTGGGATCAGCTTCTTAGTCATGGTAGGCCACTTCCTTGATTTTACTTTGTAAAATCTTTTGGCAATGAATCTATTAAGATTTGGAACAAAACATTGCAAATTAATATCTGAATCCTTTCTAGTCAAGTATTTTTTATTCAAATTCAATATACTAAATTAAAACAGCTGAAAATGTTTTCAAAGTAAAGTAAGCTAGGCTACATGCTGACAATGAATGAGTTAAAACTATTCTAACAGTTCCATCAAACTAAGCTATTTACCATTGATTGGAGGACAGACATTCAGTCAGATGTCAACATTCAATTCATTTATGACCTTTGGCCAGATGTTTACATCGCATTTGGATGATTAGAGCACCAAATATCATACAGCAGACTAGTCACATGATGTGACATGAATGAATGATGACAGGTTTGTAAAATATAAAAAA